GATCCAAATCTAGGCAGATAAATGGTTAGTTAAATTCAACCCTGTAAAAACGAAAGCATTGCTCATTTCAAACATAGAACTTGATTATGTTATAGATATTAATTTTAATAATGTAAGTGTTGACTTCCTGGATAATCATAGACACCTCGGAGTAGTTCTGGGTAATAATTGTAAATGGAGTAACCACATTGATAATATATGCCAAAAAGTTTCAAAACAGGTAAGTGTACTGCGCAAACTAAAATATATATTAAATAGAACAACTCTTAATAAAATATACAGATCCTATAATCTTCCATTACTAGAATACTGTTGCGAGGTATGGGATGGGTGTACTCTCGGTGACGCAGACAAACTAGAAAAACTTCAACTTGAGTCTGCAAGGATAATTATGGGTTTACCCTCTTATTCTAGCAGAGCATCTTTATACTCCGAAAGTGGATTCGAACCCTTATCTGAGAGAAGATCTAGGAGAAAACTTCAACTATTCTTCGAAATTCACAATAATCTCACGCCATCCTATCGTACTTCTCTACTGTCTCCTCTTGTCTCAGCAAATTCACAATACAACCTCCGTAATGCCGATAATTATTCTCTTCCTAATTTCCGACTTCAACTTTCAAACTCTTCCTTTTTACCTTCTACAATCCGACTTTGGGACCAATTAGACCTAGAAATAAGACACAGAGTTTCACATACAGCGTTTAAGAATTTTCTCATAAATCTTCAAAATTTATATGTTCCAAATTATTATCTGATTGGCGATAGAAAACTTAATATTTTACATACCAGATTAAGAAACAGAGCTAGTACCTTAAATAACGATCTATTCCATGCAAATCTAATAAATTTCCGACACTGTCAATGTGGTCATCCTGTTGAAGATACATACGATTACTTTTTTGATTGTAACAATTATGTAGAACAAAGAATGAGAAAAACTATTTCATTCCTGTGGACCTGCAGCTGATACTTTTTGTTAGTTTGGAATTAAGCCAACATGAAAATGAAATATTTCAACATACTCGGCAATATATTCTAGATTCACATAGAATTTGATAAATATATCCACACACACACACAACCAAACACACACCCGCACACACACTACCCCCCTCCCCCTCCACCTTTCTTTCTTACAGAAATTGTACGATCTTGGTATTACGTTGGTTAATTTATTAGTCGACAATCGTTTTTATCTTAAATGTTGAAGAGTCGTGTTTCTGGTCTTCCCCGATAAAAACGGCACCAGTGAAATGAAAATACCAGAAGGAATATTTACAAGGAGAAGGCAACAGAGGCACGGGAAGTGATGAACATTAGAAAAGCAGAGTGTTGTGAATAGTGGACAGTGTAACTAGTGCCGTCTGTGTCGGAGAAGACCCTCTCTCTCTCTCTCTCTCTCTCTCTCTCCTCAGTCCATGACCATTTAACACCTTTCCTGGTGAGGCCATGCAGACATTTCGCTATTTTTGCAAACCGAACACGAATTTCCGATAATATGACGCAAGTCCGAGAAATCACTTCAAGTCAGTAACATTACTTGGGGCAGACATCGCTTTAATGGCCTCGACCTTCGAAGGATCCTTCCTAATGCCAACCTGGGAAACCACATGTCCCAGAAATCTAACTTCCCTGCACAAGAAGTTGCATTTTTTCGCCTTTAACTTTAAATTAGCGTTATCTAGGCGGTCAAAAACAGCGGTCAAATTACACAAGTGCTGTTTGCAACCCTTCGCATACACGATGATATCATCCAGATAAAGCACTGCAATATGCCACTGCAATCCACTGAGTGCTTTCTCAGTTATTCTGGAAAACGTAGCTGGCGCATTACAAAGTCCAAAAGACATCTTCGTGTATTGATACAATCCTCCCTGAAGTGTAGCGAACGCGGTCTTTTCCTTATCTTCCGGTTTCATCGGAACTTGATGATAAGCCATAATTAAATAAAGCGAAGTAAACCAGTCCACACAGCTCCACTGAATGCGCACAAATTATCGTCTATAATACGGCAAATAGGATATGCATCCTTAATTGACTGCTCGTTCAAACGTATGTAATCGACACATACTCTTCAGGAATTATCCTCTTTTTTTTTTTTACTAAAACCAGGTTTGATATCCACGGGCTATCTCTGTATACGGATTGAACAATCTGGCATAGACAGTTCCTTGTGTAGTGTACACTAAAACACGCGCCAACGCTTACTAAGTTTTTCCCGGGTATGCTTGAACTTCCCGATCCAGGGGTAATATTAATCATAAAAGTCCACGTATTGTAGTCCCAGTTACATCTGAATTTTGTAATAAACCTTGTCCCAATAATTTGGTTTTAATCTTCCCCACAAATACTCGAAATTCTATACTAGCATCGTCAAATGTTAACAGCATCTTCGCCGTTCCCACAACAGTTATTTCGTTCCCGTCAGCAGTTTCGAATCGCGTACGAGATGGTACTAACTCAGGACGTTCTTCCGATGTTATATTCCAGAAGGTATCTTCTGTTATGAAGGTTCTCCTTGCACCGGAGTCTTCTATCCACGTTAAAGGACTCCCCTGTATCATCCCTTTTACCGTCATACTCGAGTTCCCTTGAACCTTTATTTCGAGTAATTCCTCCGTCTCTTCCTGTTTGCGATCGCTCGCGGAAGATAAATTCGTGACATCATTCTATCCAATGTCTGTTCCTATTCCGCCGTTTACCCCTGCTGTATGACGCGGCAATGGGCCGTCCGCCTTACTGTTTGTGGCTCCGGTAACGTTCGTAATATGACTTTGGATATTTCCTGTGTTACGCCTCCTCAAATCATGGACTGGTGCACGGCCTACTGCTCCAGTTCCTGCTCGTTTAACTGCTTAGATTTGAAATTCTGCCTTTTAGCTCTGTCGTTAGCTAGGGCTGGACATGTGTTCCTTAAATGCTGAGTACTTCCACACTGGAAACATCTCCGATTTTGAGTGTTGTTTCCAGAACTTTTCCCGTTCTTTGCATTTACATTGTACACACCACGGTGTCCAGCGGTTTTCTGGTGTTTTACCCTCACTTGTATACATTCCTCCTGCATAGCGTAGGTAACAGCGTCCTGAACCGCCTTATAGACACACGAAAGTTTTCAGACAGGCTACAATTATCCAAAAAACGACTTCAAAGTGCTTTCTTCAACGTATTCACGGTTTGTTGGATAAGCCCTTCTAAACAGGTCATGAAGTGTTTTAAGCTTGCGAAGTTTCGCGCCTCGGCATTATAACTTTCCTTCATTGCCGTGTGGCCGAAACGTTCGTCCATAATATTCCTTAACTGGTCCCAGTTTGCGCGTGTTGTTATCGGTAATTCATAAGCGAGCACCTCTGCTTGGTCCCTCAGAACGGTATAAAACACGTTTAAAGCCCTGGCAGGCCTCCTGTTGTTCAGACATTATCATAATAGCGAATGTACTCGCTCCAAATCTCCTTATCCTCCCCACTGAAGGTTCACTTGAGGGAGATTTGGAACGTGCGGGTTTCTCTCACCCCGGGTGAATCACTACTATTGTTCCCTTCAGCTACGATGTCGACATTATCCAACAACCCCTGACCTAAATCCTGCACCACATCTATTGTTAATCGGTCTCTCAGTAATTTCCATACGAGAGATAGCGAGACTGCTAATCCTACAGCCATCATCCCAACAGCTACACATTCTTTTGTGAAACACACGATGATATTGTGTGGGTACCTTAAATATAAAGTCCACAAACACGAAGCAAGGAACAATAAAGTTCAAATCCATTTAATTACAAACTTCTCAAACTGGTGTAGTCGTCTCCACCTTAAATTAGGAGTGTTCGGACTTCCGTCGCACGGTTGTCGTGTAAAGCTGTGGTCCCAACCCGCCGTACTTGCAAGTGCCTGCTGTCTACTTGCAAAAACGTGGGCGAAATTTGGGGATCCGTACGTGGTGAGTACCGCCTCAGTACGGGTTTGGGAGCACGCAGACACGCCGTAGCACTTTTAGTGCATGAGGAACTTTCGCTGCGTTCGGGATGTGTTTCCCGTCGATCGCCCCACAACAGTGGTGAAAGTTCCATCGCGTTCCAAACTGGCGGGCGACGTCTTTCCGCTCGTCCTGTGTGGAGGGCATGGTGAACATCTCCTCCTTACTTTCCTCGTAGATGGCGGTGCAGACCTCCGGCACGAACTTGGATATGCTATTGTGTGCCACCCGGAAGTCGTAAGGAAGGAACCTGTAGCTGTTCTCCGTCGCCAAGAAGCGAAGGGTGATGGCCAGCTTCAGGCCAGGCTCCAGAGGGCGGCGACTCCTGAAACATAAAATGTATAGCATTAATATATATATTCAGCGTTCCTTGTCTGCGATGCTCTCAGCTTCATTGCTGTCTTCGGCTGTCTTTAGCCGAGGGGACTATTGGTTTTATATAATAGCTATATATTCAATTATAGTATATCAGTTCTATCTTCTTGTAATATTATGTATATGTACATGAAATTGTTCTGAATCACTGTGTCTTGATAAAGAAGCGGATCGCTCCGAACATTTTACAACCTAAACTTGTCCACACTGTTAGAATTACTTCTTTGCTCAATATATATATATATATAGCAAGGTCATGACTGTTGTTATAATTTTGCCATAACCAATACCTTAACCATTCCGTATCAAGGCAAGTTATACAACGTCGTGCTAATGCGCTGTCACTTGAAGCTGCTCTTGCAGCATCATAACCCGGAGCCCCCCCNCCCCCATCGACATTGGGCGGAAAAACTCACGTTCATCGCACTTACATCATGCGAGTGAGTAAGGACACCGTACGTGAGCAGCACGTGTAAGCACTGCCTCTGTACGATAACGTGGCAATCGCACGGAGATCGTACATTGTAAGCACGTACAACTCATTTACCACGTGTGCAACGTACGATGCACGCAACCGCTCACGGCCAGGCGTGGCGTGCGGGCCACGTACTTACACCTTGCGCAACAGTGCGAGTGACGTGCGTTGACGTACTCTCTCCCTGCTCTTGCCACTCACTCCCCACGTTTTCAGAAACACGTACGGACTAAAATTTAAAACACGCACGGTGGGTTGTGACCGGGCCTTTACCAGTGTTTCCGGTGACGCAGCATGAATTAGCGCTTGGGGAGAGTCATTTAAATCCACCTCGTCGAACTCCTGTGCTAGATTCCGACGTGTGGAAGACCGCACAGTTCTCCGTGGAGTACTTTAATCCATAGTGTTGGTTAAAGTCTATCGCAACCACATTTTACTTCCATCCCACCGCTGTCACGCTCTCTCCCGGGATAGGCGGCGTCGTGTTTGTCTTGGGATGGAATTGTGGTGCGATAGAGAACAGACACAAGAAATAACGTTCACATATTTATTAACTCCAGCGTATAAATTTCACAGTTTTCCATACACGGTTCACAACACTATTCATTTATCTCCCTTAATCCATACGTTCCCTTTATAATTCTTTTACACAACATCCACTTTCAGTCTCCATTCTAATGCACTAAAACTCTGAACTAGCAAAACTACAAACGTAACTCTCCCCAATAGTAGTGCGTGCTTTGCGTCATATAACACCCCAGTATTTATAGGTGCTAAAATTAGCTTACGCGACCATTGGCCAACGTGGTGATGAGGTGATGCTGTGCACGTGGACATTATTGATTTATTCTAAGCCTTGACCAGTACTTTAAGAAGTTACCTAACTTATCCACGGCAGTACCTTGGCCTTTTCTATATTTAGCGCTTACCAAATACATATCAATACTACTACTGTCCCGTTCCTGCCCGTTCCTGTAAATCGTCGAACCCGTATTCTACGGGTCTTTATATATAAATTACACTTCAATGTTTAAAAGAAGCAGTAGAGATCTAGAGACCAGAGACGTATATAACACATGTTATATACCTCTCTGTAGAGACACAACGTTACTGAGATATACATCTTTAACGTAATTTATACTTAACCCGTGCATACAATCAATATCTAAACGAAATCTAACAATATAACCACGGACTTAGATCTAATTCCTTGGTTGAGTACAGATTTTTTTTTAATATTTCAACACTAAATTTAATCTAACCTCCATGCTTGTTTAAAAGATGAGCTAGTAGCAATTTAACTGTCTACTAATGGTTTAATTTCTTAATGATCTATTTATCCCGAGTATAATTTGTGTTGTGCTTTTAGTAGTCATATTGATACCACGGTATTAGATGCTATCTAATTAGTCCGTGATTGATGTTACCAGATTAATCCGGAATTCATGTGACGATATCTGCTTTTCATTTTAGTATATTCCATCTGACTCTAAATGGCGCTTGAAGCGGGATGTACAATGTCGAATTTGGATGCGTTATGTTGACGATGACGATTGCTTAATGATGGATAACAACAGCGCCGATATCTCTGACAAACGTAATTCACATGTATCCGTTGCTTGTAGCGCAGGGTCACGTTACAATCACACACATATGCTTTACTGATATGGGTCACAACACACATAAACACCTGTGCTTGTAGTGTGTTGTAGCTATAAATAACACAGAAAAAATCATGCTTAATTACCAGCTGTCATATTTGCACTGAATGGTCCCATTGCCACTACTGAGTACTGTACACGCTGAAGTCAATGCAGAACAAAGTCAGTGATATGGTTTGTCCTTTTCACAAAAAGTTAGACATCAGAATTGATAACTATTTGTGCACAAATGTACTTCATTGTGTTATTTAATGGATTAATTGAAAGAAAGTGTTTAAAAGAACTTTGTGTGTTTTTAATTCACTTTATTCACCATTTCAGTAATACAATCGTTACTGAAATGGGTAACTGTTACCCAAATGCAGGATTAACCTGGTTAACGTCAGCTTTTTGTATCCTTTATAGTAAACAGGTTGTTTCGCACTTAATCTCATTTGCCGTAGGAATGTTTCTCCCTAACTTTTTTTCTTGAATTTATAAATATCATGTTCAAACTTACATTTCTCTTGAATCACGATATAATTTGCATACTGGAAGAAAACAACAGTATCGTTAACATTGCATGTTAAATGTGATAAGAAAATAACGCATTCCATTTTTTGCTTTACAAAAAGCAACACATTTATACACATTTTTTATAAAATTGATTTTAGTGATATAGAAGACTTAACTTGTGAGTTGAAACTACTAAAAATTAAAAGAACATATCAAACAATGTTTCACCCTATTTTTTTTGTTTTAGGGCGAAACAACCTAGGGCTGAAAAGGATAAATTTGTACATGATCATGCAACCAGATTTCATCAGCATAAAATTCTTCTTTGTGAAACATGAACAGTAATCATTAGAAACATTTCAAATGATATTTTTAACTTAACAATATGTGAAAATAAATGTTTAATTTGGTTTATAAATACTGAGATAATTTTTGAAAAATTGATTGTTCTTTTAATTCATCATCATGCATATCGTAATGACAGTCGGAAAATGACCCACAGGAAAAGGATTAACCTTAAAATTGGTAACAACAAGGTATTTACTAAAAAAACTTAAATGGAACAAAACTCGTCCTAAATAAACAGAAACTGTTTTAGTATAGAGTGTGACGCCCATGAGCATCAATTACAGCTTCACAACGTCTGTGCATGCCCCCAATGAGATTGTGTGTCCGGTTTTGTGGGATAACGTTCCAATTAGCTACCAAAGCTGTTCCCAGCTCCTGAAGCGTTCTTGGCTGAACATTTCTGGAAGAGAGCTGTCTGCATCAATGGGATTTAGATCCGGCGAGCGGGCTGGCCAATCCATTCGTTGAATAGTCTCTTGCTGTAGATACTGCTAAGTCACCCTTATTCTACATGGCCCAAAATTATCATCCATAAGGATGAATTCAGGGCCGATAGCGCCATCATAGAGTCCGACATTTAGGCATCAATGATTTTATCACAGTAAACTTGGGCCGTAATGGTACCATTATGGAAGACATGGAGGTCAGTTTTCCCACGGAGGCTTATGCCTCCCCACACCATCACTGAACCTCCGCCATATCGGTCATGTTCCACAATGTTACCTGCCTGGACCTGTCCCCAGGTTTTCTCCATACTCAACAGGCTTGTCAGTGAAGTCGAGACAGAATCTGGACTCATCAGTAAAATCTAATCGGTCCCCAACATGGCTGGCAGTTAAGGGAACTTGTATTGCTGGTCTATGTGTCCTTAAACCAGCATCATGAAGACGGTTCCTAACTGTCTGAGTGGCTACCCGGGTACCAGAAGCATTTAGGATCATTTTATAAAGCTGTGGCAGTCTGGAACCTGTGATGCCGTGCCTGTATGAGTAAAAATCGGTCTTAGCGCTGCGTTGTAGCCCTAGAACTTCCTCCAGCATGACGTCTGGAAGGGCTTCCGTTAGTTTGGAAACTATTCCACATTCTTGCCACCATACTTTGAGATACCCCAAGACCACACTTTAAGACACCCCAAGGTCTGATGCAACCTGATGTTGAGACATGCCATCTTGCAGAATTCCGATGCCCATATTCATTTCACCGTCATTTAACTGTTGTCTGTTTTGTCTTTGTGCCATATTAAAACAAAAACATGCAAAGAATATTCATCAAATTGATTTCCTTAACAATTTGAACAACGCCTTACTTAGCCTAGCTTACGCTTATGAAAGCTTTTACACGTGGAAAAGCGTGCACACACTTTTATGGTTGACTGAACACATCCTCACAGGACGATTCGCCCAAAACAGTACAGAAGGAAAATATAATATTGTTTCTAACATTTTGATTTTGTTTTCAAAATATAGGTGATCCTTAGCAAAATGTGTCAAGAGTAATATATATATTGGGGCGAAATAACGTTGGGTGAACTAGATTTAGGGTGAAATGACACGGTTCCGTTATATATCCCAACCATGGTGATCGAACTCATCGAAGGGGGAATTGATCCAATGCATGTCTTGAGCACAGGTACTGGCCTCGTAATACACCTAGCTGTTTCAGGCCTTATAACATAAACATTGCCCTAGTAAAAACTAAAATGACCCTGTTCCAGAAAACGAGCCATTTGGTCTTAACTATTCATAACATCATGCCAGGAGCAGTGAGTCTGGCTCCACAGGAACATTTTTTTTATTTGATTTATATGTATACATAATGTATCGCTCAGTATAAGTTTCATTACACTTCATGAAAAAATCTAAAAACTGTCTGATTTCAGTTGATCAGGCACTTTGCTGTCCTGGGGATGACAAGGTTATAAATCCCTAGTGGATTGCTGTCCTGGGGATGACAAGGTTATAAATCCCTAGTGGATTGCTGTCCTGAGGATGACAAGGTTATAAATCCCTAGTGGATTGCTGTCCTGGGGATGACAAGGTTATAAATCCCTAGTGGGTAGTTGGTGACAAACACATGGAATGTACAGAAATCAGTTTTAAGTACACTAGCTGCTTCGATTCTATGATAAGAAATAAACTTACTTGTATGATAGTTCATGTCCTTTAATATTATGTCTGATACCTGAGTCAAGAAATTACTAATGGTTAGACCGAGGAATTTGGACAAAGGTGTCTTACTTTGGCGCGGGACGTCCTGGGTTTGAATCCTGGTCTAAAGGTTTCAAGTCCTTGATTGGTTTTAATTTGAATTTTGCAGTGAATACAACTTTAGGGATTGACTTAAGTGCTGAAGATGTCCAGAACCAACCCGAGTTTTGCCAGCTGCTTTCTGTGCTGACCAATCACATCAGTAATGAAGGAGTATCAACTCTAGTGCAAAAAGATCTCCTACAGGTAGTTAATAAAGAATAATTATAAACAAGGATTAATCATTGATAGTTTGGTTTAATTTTACCAACATACTCTATGTTTTATCTATATATATGGAATGATATATATTATCAAATTATGTTATTTATATTTCATGGAATTAGAGTTTTTTTAACTTTTTTTATCGCAATAATATAATCATAATACATTTACTTCTATTAATTAGATGTTACCTTGCATGAATCCTCACCAAGTCAGGATGGTTGACTGGGTAGTTAGTCTGTACCCTGATAGTGAATCCTCACCCAGTCAGGATGGTTGACTGGGTAGTTAGTCTGTACCCTGATAGTGAATCCTCACCCAGTCAGGATGGTTGACTGGGTAGTTAGTCTGTACCCTGATAGTGAATCCTCACCCAGTCAGGATGGTTGACTGGGTAGTTAGTCTGTACCCTGATAGTGAATCCTCACCCAGTCAGGATGGTTGACTGGGTAGTTAGTCTGTACCCTGATAGTGAATCCTCACCCAGTCAGGATGGTTGACTGGGTAGTTAGTCTGTACCCTGATAGTGAATCCTCACCCAGTCAGGATGGTTGACTGGGTAGTTAGTCTGTACCCTGATAGTGAATCCTCACCCAGTCAGGATGGTTGACTGGGTAGTTAGTCTGTACCCTGATAGTGAATCCTCACCCAGTCAGGATGGTTGACTGGGTAGTTAGTCTGTACCCTGATAGTGAATCCTCACCCAGTCAGGATGGTTGACTGGGTAGTTAGTCTGTACCCTGATAGTGAATCCTCACCCAGTCAGGATGGTTGGCTGGGTAGTTAGTCTGTACCCTGATAGTGAATCCTCACCCAGTCAGGATGGTTGGCTGGGTAGTTAGTTTGTACCCTGATAGTGAATCCTCACCCAGTCAGGATGGTTGGCTGGGTAGTTAGTCTGTACCCTGATAGTGAATCCTCACCCAGTCAGGATGGTTGACTGGGTAGTTAGTCTGTACCCTGATAGTGAATCCTCACCCAGTCAGGATGGTTGGCTGGGTGGCTAGTCTGTACCCTGATAGTGAATCCTCACCCAGTCAGGATGGTTGGCTGGGTAGTTAGTCTGTACCCTGATAGTGAATCCTCACCCAGTCAGGATGGTTGGCTGGGTAGTTAGTCTGTACCCTGATAGTGAATCCTCACCCAGTCAGGATGGTTGGCTGGGTAGTTAGTCTGTACCCTGATAGTGAATCCTCACCCAGTCAGGATGGTTGGCTGGGTAGTTAGTCTGTACCCTGATAGTGAATCCTCACCCAGTCAGGATGGTTGGCTGGGTAGTTAGTCTGTACCCTGATAGTGAATCCTCACCCAGTCAGGATGGTTGGCTGGGTAGTTAGTCTGTACCCTGATAGTGAATCCTCACCCAGTCAGGATGGTTGGCTGGGTAGTTAGTCTGTACCCTGATAGTGAATCCTCACCCAGTCAGGATGGTTGGCTGGGTAGTTAGTCTGTACCCGGATAGTGAATCCTCACCCAGTCAGGATGGTTGGCTGGGTAGTTAGTTTGTACCCTGATAGTGAATCCTCACCCAGTCAGGATGGTTGGCTGGGTAGTTAGTCTGTACCCTGATAGTGAATCCTCACCCAGTCAGGATGGTTGACTGGGTGGTTAGTTTGTACACTGATAGTGAATCCTCACCCAGTCAGGATGGTTGACTGGGTGGTTAGTTTGTACACTGATAGTGAATCCTCACCCTGTCAGGATGGTTGACTGGGTGGTTAGTTTGTACCCTGATACTAAATCCCATCACTAACGTTTAAATACTAATAATCAAAATATTGATGTTTTAAAATTTTGATGCTTTTTTTATTTTATTTTATCATTTATGTCTATAAAATTTTGATTGAATTAGATGTACATTAATGTGTAAAACTTTTATGTTAATAAAGGATTACTCTTTTAACAATGTTCTTTGTACATTTGTAGGCAGAAGAAGAATTAAAACATGAGAAACACAGTTGGCTGTTACAGAAGATTCTCTACCACGAACTTGAAGAGCTTTTGCGAGATTATGATATAAAGTCTCAAGACACTGCACTCTCGACAGAAGATAGACAGGTATAGTATATAAAGTAGTGTAGGTGAAAGGTGTGGTTATCGTCATGTACCTGTGTTTTCTGGAAGAATTCAGGTACAACTGCCTAATTAGTTAAAGAAATCTGAAGTTTTAATTGAATTTGTTACCTTTCTCTCATTTTTATACACCCGTCAAATTTGACGGAAGTATTTTGGTATGGGGTTGTCCGGCCAGCCGTCTGGCGTAAACTTTTGTTTGTGCGGCAATCTCCTCCTACATTTTTTCTCCCGATCTCTTTGAAACTTGGTATACATGATAATCTTGATGTGAGGTTGTGTCTCCCTTTAAAAGAATTTTGATTCGACAGTTTTTGCAAAAATTATTGCCCTTTGTTCATTTCAGTATTTGATTTTTTGTCCAGATATTTTCTCCTACATTATGTACATTTTTTATAGCATATAGCGTATGTTATTCCGACTCGCAGTATTCTTGTTTTTCATGCATATCAGATAGCCATATGTGGGTCTAACATGTTTTTCGGGGACGAAACCACATCAATATTTTAATAAAGAACAGTTGGAGAAGAAATAATAGGCACAATTAATGCCAAGATGACTGTACCAATGAGATAGAATTTCAGGCAAAACTCAAGTTTTTACATGTTTGTATGTAAATATTCTGGTTAATGTGATTATAGGTCTTACAGTTCATTTCTTTTTGATGAATTGTATTCAATTTGTGGAACACTATATACATAGGCTGCATTTTGCATAAGGCTTATTGAATAAATCTCAAATTTTATGAAGTGGAAAAAAGTTACGATCCTGTACTTGTTACATGTGTTGTTGTTTAGTAACAACATTTATCTGTCTGTGTAGTTCCACACCATCCTACAGGAGACACTGACTCGGGCAGAGATCTCCGACTACCTGGACTGCTCTCCTGATCCCACGTCTACAGACACTCTGTTAGGTCTGAGTAAAACAGAACTGTCCCAGCAGAACCCCCACAGAAAGGTATATAAGTTAAACAACACAGCATATATAACAGGAAACTGAACTAAACTGCTAATTAAAATACTGCAGCTGGTTTACAGCGTGTTAACTAAATTGAAAGCTAGGTTTTAAAACCTTCAGAAGACTTCCCTTATTTTGCTCCTATGATTATTTGTTACTTTTTGGGAGTGTGGAGGCGGGGTTATAGTATTACCAGCATCTGTCCCATCCTGTACTGTCATTTTGCAACACTCTAGAGACTTTATTTCTTAACAAAAGTTTGATATAATTAAGAGAAATCTTCAAATGAGTGTGTGTATTTCAGGTTTTTAAGGTCAGGGTCATATAGTCATTGTATATATACATGTATAACGTTTTACAGTGATGTGCCAAACAATGATAAAGAACTCGGTAGGAAGCAGGAGCTTTCCTGTCTGATGATTTCTAGTTTGTAAGGTCTCCATTATTACACAACAATGAAACAGTTACGGAAGTAAGAGTTTACTTAGTTTAGATATGTCACCTTGTGTCCATTCCATTGATTTAGTGTTCAGGACGAGAGACTGTGTCCCAACAAAAGGCGGTTCGTCCATTACGAATAGTTTTGCATCCCAAAAATTGCTGACACACTAGATGCAATATTAAATTGTAAATAGTTTTTGTTTTACTTTATTAAGTACTCTAAACAGTGATTAAAAAATCTAGTAAAGATTTGTCCTAAAACAGAGTATTTAATTGATACTGCTGCATATTGTAACATATTTGATGTAGACCGTCCAAATAAAAGTGACATCAGGTCAAACATGTCCTATTCCATAATTACCCTGCCTTATATGATTTTAATGTTTGCTCGCCATTGCTCACTACAATGAATGATGACATACATGTATAACATGTTGGCCTTATATTTTTAGCATCTACCATTTATACAACAAAAGCTGATCCCGGACATAGAGAAGAGGCTGAGAGAGAAGTGTGACAGCCTCATCAACTTTCATCAGACTGGTTTAGAAGAGGGTAAGATTAGGGTCGGATTAGAAACAGGTCAAACTGACAAACATGTTGTGTTAACGGGTGTCTAATTAGACAGGTCAACCTGACCAAAATGTTGTGTTCTAACAGGTGTCTAATTAGACAGGTCAACCTGACCAAAATGTTGTGTTCTAACAGGTGTCTAATTAGACAGGTCAACCTGACCAATATGTTGTGTTCTAACAGGTGTCTAATTAGACAGGTCAACCTGACCAATATGTTGTGTTCTAACAGGTGTCTAATTAGACAGGTCAACCTGACCAATATGTTGTGTTCTAACAGGTGTCTAATTAGACAGGTCAACCTGACCAATATGTTGTGTTCTAACAGGTGTCTAATTAGACAGGTCAACCTGACCAATATGTTGTGTTCTAACAGGTGTCTAATTAGACAGGTCAACCTGACCAATATGTTGTGTTCTAACAGGTGTCTAATTAGACAGGTCAACCTGACCAATATGTTGTGTTCTAACAGGTGTCTAATTAGACAGGTCAACCTGACCAATATGTTGTGTTCTAACAGGTGTCTAATTAGACAGGTCAACCTGACCAATATGTTGTGTTCTAACAGGTGTCTAATTAGACAGGTCAACCTGACCAATATGTTGTGTTCTAACAGGTGTCTAATTAGACAGGTCAACCTGACCAATATGTTGTGTTCTAACAGGTGTCTAATTAGACAGGTCAACCTGACCAATATGTTGTGTTCTAACAGGTGTCTAATTAGACAGGTCAACCTGACCAATATGTTGTGTTCTAACAGGTGTCTAATTAGACAGGTCAACCTGACCAATATGTTGTGTTCTAACAGGTGTCTAATTAGACAGGTCAACCTGACCAATATGTTGTGTTCTAACAGGTGTCTAATTAGACAGGTCAACCTGACCAATATGTTGTGTTCTAACAGGTGTCTAATTAGACAGGTCAACCTGACCAATATGTTGTGTTCTAACAGGTGTCTAATTAGACAGGTCAACCTGACCAATATATTGTGTTCTAACGGGTGTCTAATTAGACAGGTCAACCTGACCAATATGTTGTGTTCTAACGGGTGTCTAATTAGACAGGTCAACCTGACCAATATATTGTGTTCTAACGGGTGTCTAATTAGACATGTCAACCTGACCAATATATTGTGTTCTAACAGGTGTCTAATTAGACAGGTCACACTGACCAATATATTGTGTTCTAACGGGTGTCTAATTAGACAGGTCAACCTGACCAATATGTTGTGTTCTAACAGGTGTCTAATTAGACAGGTCACACTGACCAATATGTTGTGTTATAAAGGGTGTCTGATTAGACAGGTCACACTGACAAATATGTTGTGTTCTAAAAGGTATCTGTCTAGACAGCTAAATGTGACCAATATGTGTAGGGTGTCAGATTAGACAGGTTTCAGATTATTAGAATACCATGAAGTTGATCTAACTAGATTTGCTAGTCATAATATTAAATATGTTCATTACCTAAACAATATAATTTCTACCACAAGATGATGTAGAGCCGGCCTTCAATCCTACAACACAGTTACCTGCCCTTGTGGAATCTGATAAACACCAGCTGCAAAAGACGAAGGCTCAATTGAAAACTGTGAAACATAATAAAGACAAACAGTTCTGGCAGTACTACAAGGTGAGTCATACAGTTCTGGCAGTACTACAAGGTGAGTCATACAGTTCTGGCGTTTGCCACTTGACTGACCATGTTAAGAAGTATGGTTGAGGTCAGGCCCCATCTGCACTATGGTTAAGAAGATTGATTTAGGTCAATTACCGAATAACTATTTATCCTACATCAGCTACACTTGCATGGTTTATGTATCTTAAAGGATGCTAATCACATTTGATGCTTTACATGAAAAGGTACTACTTATAATGACTGTTGTTGACTGTGATGTTGTCATATAATCTGCAGGTTGTTTGTTTAGTTGTGTTGGGGCAGATTTTGGAACAGCATTAATTGTACATGTATCATGGACTTCTGAGCTGTTGTCTATAAGTCCTTGGTTAAATAAGCAATGAAAAACTTACATTTCACTGACCTGCTAAAATTGATGATATAAGATTTTCCTGTGCATTATTTTTAAATTTTAAATCAGCAATATGTTCATGAATTCACAAAAAGATAACTTTACTGATAATTTACACATCTGAGAAGGTCGTCTTGGCAACTAATCCATATTGATTTCAATATCTAATACATTTCCTTATTCTACATCCAGCAAAATTACTGAGATGTAAATAATTTGTGTCATCTACAGACGCTGATAGACTCCTTGGGAGTGCTGGAGGAGGTGGTCGCCAAACATAGATTCCAGAACCAGACTGAACAGAACACTGTCACCACAGAATGGCTGGTGGGCAGGTGTGACGGGCTCTGTTTAAAGATCAGGTATACGGCCACCAACAGAACACTGTCACCACAGAATGGCTGGTGGGCCGGGGTGACGGGCTCTGTCTAAAGATCAGGTATACAGTCACAAACAGAACACTGTTACCACAGAATGGCTGGTGGGCCGGTGTGACGGGCTCTGTCTAAAGATTAGGTATACAGTCACGAACAGAACACTGTCACCACAGAATGGCTGGGGGGCAGGTGTGACGGGCTCTGTTTAAAGATCAGGTATACGGCCACCAACAGAACACTGTCACCACAGAATGGCTGGGGGGCAGGGGTGACGGGCTCTGTTTAAAGATCAGGTATACAGCCACGAACAGAACACTGTCACCACAGAAGGACTGGTGGGCAGGTGTGACGGGCTCTGTTTAAAGATCAGGTATTCAGTCACGAACAGAACTCTGTCACCACAGAATGGCTGGTGGGCCGGTGTGACGGGCTCTGTTTAAAGATTAGGTATACAGCCACCAACAGCACACTGTCACCACAGAATGGCTGGTGGGCCGGGGTGACGGGCTCTGTCTAAAGATCAGGTATACAGTCACAAACAGAACACTGTTACCACAGAATGGCTGGTGGGCCGGTGTGACGGGCTCTGTCTAAAGATTAGGTATACAGTCACGAACAGAAAACTGTCACCACAGAATGGCTGGTGGGCCGGTGTGACGGGCTCTGTCTAAAGATTAGGTATACAGTCACGAACAGAAAACTGTCACCACAGAATGGCTGGTGGGCCGGTGTGACGGGCTCTGTTTAAAGATTAGGTATACAGCCACCAACAGCACACTGTCACCACAGAATGGCTGGTGGGCAGGTGTGACGGGTTCTGTTTAAAGATCAGGTATGCAGCCACCAACAGAACACTGTCACCACAGAATGGCTGGGGGGCAGGGGTGACGGGCTCTGTTTAAAGATCAGGTATACAGCCACCAGCAGAACACTGTCACCACAGAATGGCTGGTGGGCCGGGGTGACGGGCTCTGTCTAAAGATTAGGTATACAGCCACCAACAGAACACTGTCACCACAGAATGGCTGGTGGGCAGGTGTGACAGACTACTGTCGGTGGAGTTGTGACTGAAATAATAGAGTAGGAGAAAAGTAATCACCCCCTACCTTGAGGGTGTTACAGAAAAATCCCAGACCCTAGGAGGGTTAGACAACCAAAAAACATCACCCATCGGTTAGAACATTTCTCTATCACACCCTCAAGATAGGGAAAGATTCTATTAGTCTCCTGCTTTCATCGAGAGAAATCAGCTTGTCACCCCAAGGCAGAGAGAGCCTCGTGCAAAACAGTATGCACTAAATTGTGATGTCATAAAAAGGCGAGTGCATGGTGTACAAATATGGCTACTGTAGGTTGAGTTGTGACTGAAATAATAGGCTGGGAGAAAATTCCCCATCCCCTACGTTTAGGGTGTAAATCTCCAACCCTTGGGTTAGACAACCAAATAAATCATCCCTCGGACTGGAGATTTCCCTGTCATACCCTCGTGGTAGGGGGAGATTCTATTAGTCCACGCCTACATGACTTATGCATAAGAAGTTCAGATTTGGTGTTGGTAGATGTAATTAGAGTAAGGATTCAAGATGAATTCTTTAGCCATACCAAGGTTGAGATGTGCATAAACCTGTTTTTTGGTTTAATTTCCATAAAATTATATGTAAGCAGCTTGATGTTTTATATTGATTCACAATGTATTTTACTTTACTTTGTCTTTTAACAATACCTTGCAATTGTATTGTGTTGGAATTAATCATGTTTACAATAGTCTAGATGTCAGTCTCAAGTTTGTGGGGAAACATAATCTGTCCGGTTCTTTTGACTGGCAAAAGCAAATCTCTGTGTCATCATTTTCAGAGATAGTTTCCTTTCAGAACGACAGATGAATTTGGTGTGGTGTAGGCTATGTGTGGGTAACAAAACTAAGGCAATGAGTTAGATTGAGTTGAACAAAATTTGTTTCTGATAAAGATTGAACAAAAAGCATTTCTGGAAATGTTTCCTACAACTTTGTCACTTTTAAGGATCACCGTCCAATTGCACTGTGTTTGTTCGTACTTTTAAGGATCACCGTCCCACTGCATTGTGCTTGTTCGTACTTTTAAGGATCACCGTTCCACTGCACTGTGTTTGTTTGTACTTTTAAGGATCACCGTTCCACTGCACTGTGTTTGTTTGTACTTTTAAGGATTACCGTCCCACTGCACTGTGTTTGTTTGTACTTTTAAGGATCACCGTCCCACTGCGCTGTGTTTGTTCGTACTTTTAAGGATCACCGTCCCACTGCACTGTGTTTGTTTGTACTTTTAAGGATCACCGTCCCACTGCACTGTGTTTGTTCGTAAATACAGTAACCTCCCCTTAATTTCCTTTTGAATATAACTGTAGCACAGTTGGGGTTCGGATATCTTCGTTGACTACAGTGGTACGTCTCTGTAGCTCATCTGTCATAGAGATAGAATAACGTCTGAAGTCCAGGGCCAGTATTCATGAAACCGTTCTCATGCTCAAGCATGGATTCTTTGCTCAAACCAAATTTCTTGAAACTCACTTATATCATGTAAAACAATCAAAAAGTCAAATGTTAACATTAAAAACAGTATCTGGCTTTAAGTTCCTTCAATTTTTTCCCAATCATTGAAAAAATAACATTTTGTTAATTAATTTATAACTGAAACAAGAAATTAGGCTTGAACATAAAATCCATGCTTGAGCATGAGAACGGTTTCATGAATACGGGCACTGGATTTGAATCCCATTATGGCTTCGTATTTTTTTTTACTGTTACCTTCATCAGAAAAATGACCAATGAAGCGTATGCACACAAAGGTGTAAGAGGTGAACGAGTTGTCCACAAAATTGATGTCGATTCTATTACGCTGTAAGCGTATGTACAGTAGTTGTTATATATGTACCAGCGTAGCGGAATCAACATCGATTTTGTGGACAACTCGTACACAAAAGAACTTTTCCTAACCCATACTTACCAACCTGAAGAAAATGTTTAGAAATATGTACATGTATACAAGACTTGTTATATTTGCCACAGATTGCTGGAGATGCAGGTCTTGTGTGACACGTACACCAAAGATACAGTGAAGGCCTTACATTCTGTCAGGTAGGTCACAGCTGCTCACGTTGAAGAATAGACAGTTCCTGATTGTTCTGACTGGCAACATTTGTAGATCTAGAGCAGATGATGGGCAAGGGGAGATAACTGAAGCTATAATAACTGTACACTAGGTACTGTTAATTCACAATTCTGTTCTGAGTTAGTGTTTCCTAATCTTTATAGGGTATTCATGGTTTTTGTTTCTCTTTTTAGCTCAACTGGCCCAAAGGGCCAAGTAAGGCTATGCCGTAGTGCAGTGCTCGTCGTCCATCTGGCTTTCGTCTGTCAGTGTCAACTTTTTAATATAAATAATATCTTCAGAATAACCTAAAGGCCTAGGGTGATGATATTTGGCCAGTAACATACTAGGATGAGGGGCTACCAATTTTAATCAAATAAGTGACTTTCACCGACAGTATATTCAAGATCACAGGGGTCAAATATTGAGAAAATAAATAATTTAATGCCCAGGTTGATGATATTTGGCCAGCAGCATGCTGGGATTAAGGTATACTAATATAGTTCAAATGAATGACCTTCATTTCTATTCAAGGTCACAGCAGTCAGTTGTCTTAAAAGCCTTTCAAATAACTTCTTCTAAATAACCAAAAGACCCAGGTTGATTATATATGGCCAGTAGCATGCAGGGATGAAAATTTACCAAGTTTGTTAGGTCACATGAGCTTTGCTCAAGTGACCTATTCCAATCACTTTCTGTCCGTCGTCTTGCATAAACTTTTTACATTTTCGACTTCTCCTTAAGAACCAGAGTGTGGATATTTTTTTTAATTTAATTAATTATTAATTAATATCAAAGTTTTACTTTTTACACAAACAATATACATATCAAATGTATGGATATTTCAAGACCGACTGGTCCCTTTGTCAAGTTATGCCTAAGTGAGGGATTCAGTATTTTTTTCACTTGTATGATGATTTGTTGAAATTATACATTTTTTATGTCACTTGAAACGGGACATTTCGTCTATCGATAGGGAGTGTATACACACTGCATCAGGTAGGGTGTAGATCTAGCTCCCTCCTCTGTTATGTCAGTATCCGGTGTCCCCCCTCATCTCTGTCGATGTTTTGAGTATTCCTGATTTTGATTTGTCTAGGTTTTGTATATTGTTCCCTTTCAACTATTTTGGCATCTCCCCGATTGACTACATGTATGTGACTCTGGGTGTTAGCGCGATCTGTTAATGCCGTTTTATTGTACTGGGGGAGGATGTTTTTTGCATGTGGATCTGGTAAATGTGATGCTGGTCATTTCCTCTATGCCAGATTTCCTCCCAGTTTTTCCTATACATGACAGCTGACAATTTTTGTATGGAATTAGATATACAACGCCTGTTTTGTCTAAAATGTCAGTCTTGTCTTTAGATGGCACGAGTTACTGTCTGAGTGTTGTAAGTGGTCTCATCGGGGTGCTGAAATTTTGTTTCCTCATCAACCAGGCAAACGCCTCAGATGTCGCCTTCACATAGGGTATTGTGATCCAACATTAACATTTGGTTTGGCTCTCATTTCTTTTCTTCCATCTCGGTTTTCTATTTTCTGTCTTTAGTTTTACAGCTCCTTTCACTTTGTTAATTGGCAAGTCGGGTCTTGAAACCTTGGCACACGTTTATACGTACATTGTTAGTGTAAAACGTAAAACTGAAGATAAGAATTAAATACTTAGTTGTTTTTCTTTTCTTTGTTATTATTACAGAGATCACTTAGACAGCAACTTCCGTGAGACTGATAAGGAGTTCCACCACGTCTGCCAGGCTCTACGGTCGTACGAGTCAGTAGGGATGGGATTCGATGAACTGGTGGAGGAATTCAGGAAACTCAAAGAAGAGAAAGATAATAAACAATGGGCGCTGACAGAACTACATCGGGGAGGCGATAAACAGGGAACAGTGGCAAAACCTTGACTGAAGCCCTGGTAGATCTCAACAGGGAAGGTGATTTACTTTGAACAGCATCCTCAAAATTCCAGGGATTATGCTCAAATATCTTTTGTACACCCCTGGAAAATGTAATGCCGAGATCCAAGGCTCTGAGTCTCTATATTCCACCTTGTGAATGCTACATTTAAACTAGTTGGATACTTTTATGTCCATCAAAAGAATCGCATGGCAGGGTAACAGTAAATTGTTAGGCTTTGAAATCTCCTCCTGAAATTTTAAAAGGACAGGTATCAGCTTAGCAATTTGTCAGTTTGATTTAACCTGAAACCATTCAAATAGTAGTATAACTAACTGCATGCTTTGGATTTTCTGATAACATATTCAAGGGCGTGCAGAGAACTTAGTGAGTGAAAACAGCTCTTACAAATTTAAGAATGACTGAATAGTAGGAAAACTTTGACATTGCTCTTAAAGAGTTGTTTATGCTGAATACTTATAAAACATTGACTCATAGCTTTTTACAAGAGAGGAACATTGAATGATAGATTTATGCAAGAGAGGTGATACCATAGCTCTCACCTAGCCTGTATGTAGGAGAGGTGATACCCTGGCTCTCACCTAGCCTGTATGTAGGAGAGGTGTTACTCTGGCTCTCACCTAGCCTGTTTGTAGGAGAGGTGATACCATGGCTCTCACCTAGCCTGTTTGTAGGAGAGGTGATACCCTTGCTCTCACCTAGCCTGTATGTAGGAGAGGTGTTACCCTGGCTCTCACCTAGCCTGTATGTAGGAGGGGTGATACCCTGGCTCTCACCTAGCCTGTATGTAGAAGAGGTGAAACCCTTGCTCTCACCTAGCCTGTATGTAGGAGAGGCGATACCCTGGCTCTCACCTAGCCTGTATGTAGGAGGGGTGATACCCTGGCTCTCACCTAGCCTGTATGTAGAAGAGGTGAAACCCTTGCTCTCACCTAGCCTGTATGTAGGAGAGGTGATACCCTGGCTCTCCCCTAGCCTGTATGTAAGAGAGGTGATACTCTGGCTCTTACCTAGCCTGTTTGTAGGAGAGGTGATACCATGGCTCTCACCTAGCCTGTATGTAGGAGAGGTGATACCATGGCTCTCACCTAGCCTGTATGTAGGAGAGGTGTTGCCCTGGCTCTCACCTAGCCTGCATGTAGGAGAGGTGATACCCTGGCTCTCACCTAGTCTGTATGTAGGAGAGGTGATACCCTGGCCATCACCAAGCCTGTATGTAGGAGAGGTGCAAGTGATACCCTTGCTCTCACCTAGCCTGTATGCAGGAGAGGTGATACCCTGGCTCTCACCTAGCCTGTATGTAGAAGAGGTGAAACCCTTGCTCTCACCTAGCCTGTATGTAGGAGAGGTGTTACTCTGGCTCTCACCTAGTCTGTTTGTAGGAGAGGTGATACCATGGCTCTCACCTAGCCTGTATGTAGGAGAGGTGATACCTTGGCTCTCACCTAGCCTGTATGTAGGAGAGGTGTTACCCTGGCTATCACCTAGCCTGTATGTAGGAGAGGTGATACCATGGCTCTCACCTAGCCTGTATGTAGGAGAGGTGATCCCCTGGCTCTCACGGAGCCTGTATGTAGGAGAGGTGATACCCTGGCTCTCCCCTAGCCTGTATGTAGGAGAGGTGATACCATTGCTCTCCCCTAGCCTGTATGTAGGAGAGGTGATACCATTGCTCTCCCCTAGCCTGTATGTAGGAGAGGTGATACCATTGCTCTCACCTAGCCTGTATGTAGGAGAGGTGTTACTCTGGCTCTCACCTAGTCTGTTTGTAGGAGAGGTGATACCATGGCTCTCACCTAGCCTGTATGTAGGAGAGGTGTTACCCTGGCTCTCACCTAGCCTGCATGTAGGAGAGGTGATACCCTGGCTCTCACCTAATCTGTATGTAGGAGAGGTGATACCCTGGCTCTCACCGAGCCTGTATGTAGGAGAGGTGATACCCTGGCTCTCCCCTAGCCTGTATGTAGGAGAGGTGTTACTCTGGCTCTCACCTAGCCTGTATGTAGGAGAGGTGATACCTTGGCTCTCACCTAGCCTGTATGTAGGAGAGGTGATCCCCTGGCTCTCACCTAGCCTGTATGTAGGAGGGGTGATACCCTGGCTCTCACCTAGCCTGTATGTAAGAGAGGTGATACTCTGGCTCTCACCTAGCCTGTTTGTAGGAGAGGTGACCTAGTCTGCATGTAGGAGAGGTGCATGTGATACCCTTGCTCTCACCTAGCCTGTATGTAGGAGAGGTGATACTCTGGCTCTCACCTAGCGTGTTTGTAGGAGAGGTGACCTAGTCTGCATGTAGGAGAGGTGCATGTGATCCCCTTGCTCTCCCCTAGCCTGTATGTAGGAGAGGTGATACCTTGGCTCTCACCTAGCCTGTATGTAGGAGAGGCGCACATGATACTCTTGCTCTCACCTAGCCTGTATGTAGGAGAGGTGTTACCCTGGCTCTCACCGAGCCTGTATGTAGGAGAGGTGATACCATTGCTCTCACCTAGCTTGTATGTAGGAGAGGTGATACCTTGGCTCTCACCTAGCCTGTATGTAGGAGAGGTGACACCTGGCTCTCACCTAGCCTGTATGTAAGAGGGGTGATACTCTGGCTCTCACCTAGCCTGTATGTAGGAGAGGTGATCCCCTGGCTCTCCCCTAGCCTGTATGTAAGAAAGGTGTTACCCTGGCTATCACCTAGCCTGTATGTAGGAGAGGTGATCCTCTGGCTCTCACCTAGCCTGTTTGTAGGACAGGTGACCTAGTCTGCATGTAGGAGAGGTGCATGTGATCCCCTTGCTCTCCCCTAGCCTGTATGTAGGAGAGGTGATACCATTGCTCTCACCTAGCTTGTATGTAGGAGAGGTGATACCTTGGCTCTCACCTAGCCTGTATGTAGGAGAGGTGCACATGATACTCTTGCTCTCACCTAGCCTGTATGTAGGAGAGGTGATACCCTGGCTCTCACCTAGCCTGTATGTAGGAGAGGTGATACCCTGGCTCTCACCTAGCCTGTATGTAGGAGAGGTGATACC